ATATAGAGACAGCATAATTGTATCTGCAAGTGTGCATAATTCACTGTGTCTATGTATATAGTTATCTGATTTGTTCACATAACTACAATAATTGCATACACTGTAATGCCTGAATTACCTGAGAAACTTTGCCTGATGTGTTTTTTTGACTTCCTTTGATTTTATTATCTAATGAAAACAAGTAGTGTATAAAACAATGAATATGTGATAAAAGTATCTTACATTGTTAAATACTAATTTTTTCCATATGATTGTATTTTCTATGTTCTAAACATAATACTAAACTTGAGATCATTGTTAAAATGTGAGGTATAAACAATTGCAGACTTTGCTTGTTCTGTAAACTGGACAATCTATTGGGCAAAACAATCCATTACCCTGGGCAATTGTTTGCTAAGGCACTCCTGTCTTAATTGGATAAATAGATATGTGATAAATCGAAATGTGATAATTACATTATCACATCAATTAAGGCACAATATGTAGGTTTATAAACTATGAAAACTGAATTTCCTAAACCTTGTTTTCCTACTAAAGAAACTGCAATTACAGTTTTTACCAATATCTTTTTGTTATTGATTGGAATTCAGAAGAATTCAAAAGTGAGGAAGAAAGCATAAGCAATTTTCTATTGATTTGTGGTGGTATCATATCAGGTGGAAGCTTTTTGAGATTACTTTTTTTTTCTCATGTATGCATCCCATGATTGTAAATAAGAACCTGGTGAATCTTTTATTCTAGTAGACAAAAAAATTGAAATAATGTCTTTCTTATCTATGAGGCTCACTGTTCCTTTGCACATTTTCAGAGACACTAAATGCATTTCTAGGGCAATACATTTTGCTAAAATTGCACTTTTTTTTCTAGGAGTTCCTCTTCTTTTAGATAAATCTGATGTATACCTCAAACACTGTAAACTCATTCAAGTGTAAACTGGATCGAGTGTATTACTCTGTAAAACTGCATGTTTTATATTGCTTAGAAAGTGTGGTTAAAGGATTACTAGATACTTTGCTAAGTAGTTAATCCACTGGTTTGTGTTCAGGAAATATAATTATTCTTACATTTATTCCTGTATGTATTACTCATTTACTTCTTCTAAATAATTTTTAATGTAAAATTCCGAGTACTGGGTGTGAGAAAACACTTGTTTACCAAGTCCTGGTACATTAATTTTAAATTCTTACCACTCTTCGTCCTTATTTTGATATTATTGGTAATATGAGGGCACAAATAGAAAAAGCTTTCTGGAAAATAGCTTTTTTATGAAACCTCAGAACATCCTTAATGTGGGAAAAACACAAGTGAATGGAAAGCTAATAGTGAAGAGAGAGAAAACACAGCTATATTTGATTCTGCTGGTATAGTAACATATGGGAGACATTATTTAATAGTTCTTTTCAGAGTCTAATTTCATCTGTCATGAAGAAGATAAAAATCTACTATCAGGCAGAGACTAGTTAAATATATTGGTGGGTTGTGACTATGCATTTTTCTTGGTAAATATTTTTCTGTTCATTCATTGCATTGAACACTAGAAGGGCAGCACAGAAATTCCTTGCATTACATATCCCGGATGAATTCCATGAAGTATTTAAGTCATATGAAAGCAGCTATTGTAAACCTTTCCTTTCTTGACACATTTAAAGCCATTCATTAAGACCAGAAAGGAAGTTATCCAAAACATTTCTGAAATTATTAGCATTCCTTTATTGCATTAAACCTAACCTACAGACAAAGAGATATGAATTATCACATCAATTAAGCATTTGAGTATCTCATGAGATGGATATTAGAGGAAAAATAAAGAGAATCTCAAAATCGTGCTTGAGTATTTAACTGCTAAAAAATCTTTAGCTACATCTACTCTAACTGCTGGTCTGTAGAAGTTTCTTTATAGTTTTCTTCAAGATCCATGTTCAGTTCACAAGTTTAGTTTAGTTTAGTTGCTATTCAGTTGCATCTTTGTTTCATATGCATAAAGTTTTATGCCTATTTGGTGAAAACAAGCATATGCTTGACTAATTTCCCTTGTAAAGATCAAAATTTGAAAGAAACAAACTCAGTGTCTGCATGTGTAGCTGTAAAACTCTTTTTGCAGTTAAGGGATTGAGTTTGTAGTGTCACCTTAGACTAGTTTCAGGTATCACCAAGGAAGGCATGTGTTAGATTTTGGTGTGTACCTGCAACTGGGAATCTGAAGTGCCAGGAAAGTTTGTACACCCATAAGGTGAAGGTGGTCTGTCTGGCAAACTATTCATCAGTTATCTGTCTTCATTTTAAAATATCTACAACAAAGTGAATCCAACTCCCCAAGTTTGACTAGATGTGCAAATGGTTTTATTTCAAGTATAGTCTTCATATATATTTACTGAGTTTCTGCTTTGCAAAAATGAAATTTTCCCATTTTTATCTAACTAACATTTTCATAGCCACTAACCCTTCAGATTTTAAAAATTATTTACTTTTTCAGTAACTATTTAACCTGTACTGTTTGTTTTCAAGTACTTTAACTATTCCAAATATCCGTAAAAAATACTGGTTTCAAGGTAAGAAGTTGGTTGCAAGTATTTAAAAGCAAATTGTAAAACAAAAAAGAAAGGAAATAACATTCCTAGTTCTTCTGCTCAAGACTTGACACCTCTTTGAAAGATAAGAGTTAGGCAGAACTGAAATTGTTGAAAACAGTACAAGAATAAGGAGTTGTAATTCAAAGATGTGTGTCAGCCAAGGCTTTCTAATGGGGCCTTCTGGCCTTGAAAATATGAATCCATGAGTATAAATCTCTGAAACATAAAATGAAATGTTATCAAGATTTTGTCAGGCAAAATATTTTGTCACTTTTCACAATGTCAGCTGCAGCATTTTCCTAGAATATAATTCTCAAGAAGATGCCACTTTATTTGCAGAAAGAAGTTTTCATTTTAGCTGGTTAATGAAGCATTGTGTTTAGAAGCGCTTCTTTTTCAGTAAGTTGTCAATCTGCTTTGCTTAAAGGGTTATAAAAGCACTTATTCATTGTGTGAATTCACGCTTCCAGGTATTTTCAAAATCTGTTTTCCTCATCACCATCTAGGAGAAAAAAGGGGAAGGGAAGGCCTTAGGGACATCGCAGACGCTCTGTGATATGCTCATTTGAAGTGTGAATGGACATTGGCATGCCCTGGACCTTCTCCTCTATCTTATCTGCCTTTCTGACAGTATGAGGGAGACAAGAATGCCAGAAATCTTGTCTGTCAGTGCAAATTACCCAGTCTGAATTCTTACTGGAACAATGTGGGTGTCACTAGATTTTGGAAAGAGCTCAAGCTTAGACTACTGCTGAAAATAAGTAGTACACCTAAAAAGGAGAATGTGGTGAGTTGGGACATAACTGTAATAACAATTCATAAATGCAAGATGCATAAGGTCTCAAATTTAACACCATAAGGGCTTTGAAGTCTAAGAATCATCAAGTAAGATTTTGCTGCAATGCCTGTCCAAAATATCTTATACTTCATGCCAAGATTTATATTTCTAGACATATGTTCCTCTAGTTCAGCCCACTTGATCAAGGTCTTTTCCCATCTGGTGGAATCTGCATTAGGAGGTGTCAGTCATCTCCTTTTGTGCTCCTGAATCCGATCTGAAATCTTGCATTTTTTCCTGCAGTGTAATCAGCGGTGGGTGGCATTGAAGCTTTTAGTTCATGAGGGAAGCAGAGCCACTTCCCCCAGCTCCTTCTTGGACACCTGACGGCAGGAAGGGTGCTGGTCATCCCTGCCTGAGGAAGGGCTTGGAAACTTATGTTCAAAAAAAGGCTATCAGACAGACAGCCCAGTCTAGTATGTGAGCAAAACTCCAGGGAAAAGGCAGAATTTCATTGTTCATACTCTTTAATAATTGTTCTGACCAATTTCACCCTCTGCTCTTTTGTGTTAGCTGTGATGGTCCCACCCCAGCTTTCATGGTCTCTATTGTACAGTCTCTGCTGGGTGGATTCCAGGACCAGAGCCACAAATCCAAATCCAAACATGGCAAGTCTTCATGCCTTGAGTCATTGTGCAGCCTAAAGTCCTTCTGAGGCTAATTTAAGCACCATTTGACTGGTATTTTAGTGACAGTTGGTTCCTACAGCACAAGTGTTAAAGGCTGTACAGTATAGGTGTTTTAAAACACAAATTTGTGTATTTGTACTGTATAAAGTATACCATGCTTAAATTGTTAAATATAGCACACATGTTGCTTTCTTGAACTACTGTTCTTTTAAGAAAATCTTAAACATTAGGGAAAAAATAGTATTGGGAATGGCATGACAGAGTAGAGGTAGATATATATGTGTGAAAATTCCCCTCCCACTAAGGCAAGAGGAGTCTTTTCCAGAAAACTACATGGGAAAGCCATGCTAATAATGGAAGCTCTAGAGTTTTGTTAATGAAAAAAGGAGGTTATAATGACATTCCTTTCAAGAATAATATGCAAATGTCTTCTAAATCAGAGAATATAGTGAAAATATAAGTCTGAAAACAAAGCTTTCTTTTGTCTACCAACAACCTCTGATCTCCAATGTAAGAGGCTACAGACGTTTCTTTTTAGTGAAAGTTGATCTATGAGCTTGTTAAGAATAACACTGAAAACAATGTTAAAAATAGCAGTTCAGTTAACACAGGACAATAGCTTTTTTGTGGTTGGTGATGGCACGTAAAAGCCCCCAGGCTGAGAGCAGGCATTTTAACAGCTTAAAGCAAAAAGGAAACACTAGATCATGCATTTTACCTTGATATGTCAGATGGAGAGCTATCACCCAGTAGGGCATGCTCTGGGCTGAATCAGGGATAAAGCTGATCTATAACTTGGGTTTTTTGAGTTGAACTTTCCATCCAGATATATCAACAGTTATGAAACAAACCTTTTCTCTCAATAGTTTTCTTTAACTTATTCCTGCCAATGTTAGAAGAGTGCCTATAATTTCTCATTTAAATTTTTCTGGTTTCAGTTTTTTGCCACTGGATTGGACACTCTTCAAAGAATTTCTCCACAAGAAGGTTTTATACAATGCATTCAAATTCCCTTTCTTTCTGCTTTTTTATAAAGCAAACAGAAGGACTTCTTACAGTCTCTCACAGAAAGACATTTTCTCCACCTCTAAATATGTTTATGGCTTGTTTTCTGAACAATTTGATTATGTCATTTTTAAAAAATAGCTAGCTAGAAAATGCTAGCCTTAACTGATCCTGCAGTCTTACAAGTATGCTTTCTTTTTTTTTGCCATTGCAGAAGACTGTTACGCAAACCACTGAAAATGAATGTCAAATTGCTCATCCAGCACTTCCCAGCTGCATCTCAGCTTTCCAGGATATAGTCCATCATTCTGTAAGAAGTCACATCTTTGTAGATTTTTTACTTTGTATTTAGTGGTGTTTAAATTAATTCTGTGCATTTACTAAGCGATACAGAAATGCTTTCTGTGTTTGTCTTGGTCCACTAATTATCCATTCTTACTGAATGACTTTGCAAAATAGACTGGAATCAATACTGTGTTTAATTCTTGATCAATGGCAGAGGTGCCAAATCACATAGAGTACTGATCACCATTAAACAGAATTCCCACACTGAAATATACCTATAGCCAATTCATAATCTGTTCAATGTATTTCTTGCTTATTTTGTACAGAGCTTTAAAAAAAAAAAAAGTGTCATGCAGTAGAAAGTTAAACTCCAATGCTCCTGACAGCTTATGTTATGCAATTCAGAGGCAGATGGAAATAAAAAGACTGAATGGGAAAAATCTTTGTCAGGCACTTTGCTTCACAATGAACAGCTGAGAAATCATGCTGGTTTGACAAGATACAGTTTTGAAATAAACATTCTGACTGGCCTCAAGTAAATCCTTATCTTTCCTGACTTTTTAGATGATTCCCAGGCCAGATTTTTCCATTAGCCTTTTAGAATATAATAAAATACCTTAAATTAGAATTAGGTACCCTAAATTAGGATTAGATTGATGTTTACTTTCTGGAATGCTTGGTACACTTTTTGATCTCCACCAGTATAAAGAAATATAGGATAATTGACATATTTAAATTTTCAGTCATTTGCCAATGATTTGAAATAAGAGTTTTTAAAAGAAGCCCTGGAAAAACATTTATTAATTTAAAATTTATATTAAATACTTCATTTTCCTTGTAAGAAAGGATCTTCAAGGCATTTCACTTAACTTTTTAAAATTAGGGGTTTTTTGTTGTTTTGCAGATTATTACCATTAGCAGATGTTTGCTATGGGCAGTGAAAATCTGGTTCCCATTGACTACAGTGGTCAAAAATGTAGTTTTGTTGGAGATACAGAATATTTAATGTGGTATGATATCAGTTTCATATGAGAAAACACTGTATACTGCTCCCCTCAAATTGTAGTCTCATGTTAAGTAGCTTCCATGATGACAGCAGTGACAACCTCTTGATCTCCTCTGCTGTGCTAACATAAGCTTTCATGAGGTTGGACTCTTGGCTGAAACAGTGAAGCACTGCAGGCCAAATACACCCCAAGGGAAAACCCTTTTACTTTCTGGCCAGTGAGTTCAGTGATCTTGGTGGCAGTGCAGCCCCACAGAGAATTGTGCCAGCTCAGCTGTGCCAGGACATGGGGACACACACAAAGGCACCTGGGACAGAGATTCACATGAGTGTGGGAACCCAGGAAATTCTCTGGCTGCCCTGGAGGACTCGAGACCCTGTCAGGGGGCTCAGAGACCTTGGCACAGAGCCCAAGACCCCTGTGCCTTTGATTAAGCCCTTGGAAAAAACAAAAAACCTTTACATGAAGGATTACGAGCCACAACAGTTTAAGTAGAATGACAGTGAATTTATCACAGGGTGAAAAAGTAGATTTTGGGGTTTTTAGAATGGGGGTTCAGGAGGCAAGATGGAGGAATCTGGGCATGTCCAGCCTTTCTCCTTCTTCTTCCTGGCCTCAGTCTTCTGCTGTGATGTTGGCACTTTTAGATTGGTTTAGAGTAGAAGCTCCCTGTCTAACATAGGTGATAGGTATTGGAAAGTAATTGTAAACATTGTACATGTAGTTTTTAGTATAAAGACACAACACTGCCCCGGGGGCAGGCAGAGTGCCTGGAACTGTCCTGCTGGATGGAGCTTGGCAGGACAGGACAAAGCATATAATAGATAAGATACAATAAACAACCCTGAGACTGAGAAATTAAGAGCTCTGACTCCTTCTATGAGCGCCGGGCTGGGAAACGAGACTTTCTAGCTTTTCTCAGTGTCACTCTGACAAGCTAGAGATCCCAAAACATGGGGAACTTCTTGCTCTTCCAATCTGGTTACACAGAACTGGCAGTGTTAAAGCAGTGTGAGTTTTAGTTAAAGTTAGGTATCAGCCAGCAGCATGCCAAATGCCAAGCACAAACATTTCAGACCAAGATTTGCCTCAGTTTCTGGGAGGGGAATTTGTCTTTAAATTACTGTCTTAGATGAGCTGGCATGCCTGAATGCAAAACATAGAGATTTGTGTTCAGTTGTGACAAAGAAAAGTAGCAGCACAAGTCTTCCATTCATGTGTTGTTTAATCATTCAGGTCATTTAAAGGATCCTGAGATCTGTTCTGCTAATGTAAAGGAAACTTCCCTGCCCCATCATCTACTCTGGGGGTTACTCTTGCATGGCCTCCAGGCAGTGATATGGGATCAAACCCCTTTTACACTGGCACACCTCACACTCTGTCAGACCTGGTATCCTTACTGACTCCACCCCTGGTTTCCCAGAGCACAGTCTTAGTTCAGATACTTAAAACAATGTATTCATTGTGCTATAACTAAACAAAAAAATAACAGCTTGAGCTGGGTGACTTTGACAAGGGGTCCTGAACAAAGGAGTCCCCATGAGCTTTTATACCCTAACAGGGCAAGGATGACAAAGTGTGTGCTCAGGCTTAGGCTCCTGTCCCCAAAGCTCAGCCTGCAGCTCTCAGTGCACCTGCACACGGAAGTTCCTGCACCGAGTGTATTCCTTCACACCAAACAGAATCATGTAGGATTAATTCTAAGTGAAGTGAATGCGTCAGCATTGAATAAATGTGGCTTAAAATGCTAACATAAAGACACTCAAGATCTGATATCACCCTTGTAAATTTCTGTATAGCTGTAAAAAGAAAAAATTTCTTAGTTTAACTAAAGTTATTAATGTTTGTCTAACTTGTATGGCCAGTGGACATATACATGTATTATTTCTACTGTTTTCTGTCTATTATTGCTAGCTCAAAATGTAAAACCCCAGGACCAGATTTTTTTTTTTTTCATATCCAAGTTATCAATCCTGATTTCAAAGCATCCAAATTTTATATCTCATTGCCAATTAGACAGCTTTTTGAAATTTTTTTCAGATTTAAATAGTGTAATCTTGTCCAGAGGATGCCATCCTAATTACATGTAATCAGATTACACATGTATGTGTGGCAAAATAGGTTCTTATTCCTTCTGTTACCTAACCAAAGAGATAAGGAATTTATCTAGTAGGTGATTGAACCTAAAAACCCACTTTCTTGCCTCCAGTTTATAAAACTCTAATTACCCTGTTAATTGCTGGGAGTTTTTGCTTTTCATTTCAACAACTTGCTTTCATTTCAACAGCTTGCTTTCATTTCAACAACATATATTTATGTTCATTCAACACTTTTGTGTGAATGAACATAAATATATATTTTCTTTTATTTTGCCAGGCTTAATCACATAATTCTTCAGAGTGATGTTAACTAATGTCAGAATGATTTATTTTAACTTTGTCCACCTCTCTGTCTTGATTTTTATGTATTACCATTATGATGCCCTCTTCCATAATGAAATTTCTTTGTCTTACCTTACATGAATTTAGCCACCCATCCTTCTCTCAGTCTCTCTGTAAATACTGAAAATAAAACTGGATGTTTGAAACAATTTTTAAACTATGCATATTGCATATATTTATGCAGAAAATAGAGTGACTTCAGTAATAACTGGCAGGGACACCTGTATCATGAGCAAATTTTAGTGGCATAATTTTCCACTTCATTATATGTTTGTTTTTTCTCTTCAGTTGAGGTAATTTTAATGTCCATTTTCTTCCTAGTGTTTGTCAAGTTGTTTGTTTATGTGAAGCACTATAAATATTGTCTCAGCATGTTGCCATAACAATTGTTTTATTTTCAAGCATGTAGTAGAAACCTGATGAGATTGTGAAACTCCCATATAAACAGTTTGAAGGACAAGTGTCTGAGATGTATGATCACAGATGAGTAAGGGTCCATGTTTTCTATATTTTCTATGCTGTTTTATTATAAGACTGAACCTAATTTGAACATTCTTTAAGCTTACTAATAACTTCACTATAATGCTGTTCATTTGAAGAAAGCAGACAATTTCAGAGTGGGACCTACGAAGACACAGGATTGTTTAATTTCTCTCCCCACCCCTCTTCAAACCTCTGATGAGAGTATGATATCTGTGGGTTCAAAAGTGCCATGTGTAAATGACCAAATTCTTCTGCAGAAGCAGCTAGATGTGGTGGCTGCTGTTTAAAGGTCTGGCTGACACTGTGATGACTTATGTATGTGACAGCTCCGCTGATTTCAAGGCCATTTGAAGTCAATGGGAATACTCACAATGTGGAAAGACAAAATGCAAATTCTTCCTCCATCACAAAGTACTTTCACATGAAGAAAGAGCTGCACTGTCAAATGGCAAACACAACCTCTAAAATGGTAGTGTTCTAGAAAGAGAGTATCTGAAACCAGAAATTATTCATTCAGTGCAACTGATCCTTGTTTGAATAATTTTTCTAAGTGAAAAGAATTTCTGCCAATGGTCAGTATGAAAATCTCAAGCAGAAATATTAAACAGTATGCATATTTATAATGTGAATTATGTGAATGAATTTATTTTTCTGCTTTTGTGCATTTTTTACTTAGATATCTGTAAGGCAATATGATACTCTTCCTAGCCAAAGTGAGACATTGGGTCAGTTTTGGACATTGACCTAGGAAGGGTCTACACCTATCTAGAGAAACAGTGCTGCAAGGTGTCCCTGTGCCAGAACTGAAATCAAATAGGCATCAATATATTTTGAGACAATATTAAAGACAAAAGTACCTGCTTGAAAGTCACACTTGCTGAAAGAGAGTGATAACAGTAAACATTAATCCAGCAGTTTACCAGCCACTTGAGCATGATTTTTTGTGTTTGTGTTGGTGCTATGGACTGGAAAAGGGATTTGCAGATTTTGCCATTCACTCAATTATATTCATTAAATTCCTTAAAATAGTGAGTATATATGGGTTTTTTTCATTTTACATGCACTTCATATAAACATCTACAGATCTAGTTATC